CCTTTGTGGGGGCACTGAGAAAGATGAACACCAGGATCCTTGGGGAAGACTCTACAGCCAACGAGCCTGAGGAGCTTAGGGGGCTGGCAGGCCAGGAAGGGCTGGGTTTTCCTCCTGTTCCCTGCTGGGATCTCCCTGACCTCTCTGTCTACTCCCTCTGTATCAACTAGAAGGACTAGATTCAGGGCAGGGCAGGAGCCTTCTCTCTGCTACGAACCCAGCAGAGGACTGATAGGCTCAGGTATCTGTGGTTCCTCCACACCTGTTTCAAGGACGACCTTGTCCCAAACCTTCTCCTATGAGAAACACAGACCCCACCACACTCCTCAGGCAGAAAAAAAACGGGATCTACCTCATTCCCAGGTAGTGTGAAGGAAGGAATCTGTGGAGCCAGGTGGAGAGGAAGCCAGCCTCACAGCAGACAAGTGTGAGACTGTCTAAAGCCTATTTTCTAGACACCTTCCTACAACTCTTATTCAGCGACAAACCGAAAAGCCAGGGAGCTGTGGCTAGGCCCAGCAATCGAATCCATCCCATGTGGCCCAGTCACATGCTTGATACATCCTGTCACCATATATTTCTCCTATGACTCCTGGTGTCTCTTCAACTCCAAAGTTGTGTATCTTACTTAGTGGCCACTTACAAGTGGTACTCAACCCTTAAAGGGCCAGTTGAGTGTCAACCCTTAAAGGGCCAGTTGAGTGTCAACCCTTAAAGGGCCAGTTGAGTGTCAACCTTTAAATGACAAGCTGTTCTATTTCCTCTCTGGGTCTCTAATGAAGAGTTAGTTCCCTTGGTCAGCATATGAGCCTGGGCGGCGGTGGGGAGAGCTGGGCTGTGAACAAGCAGGGCAGACGGAGGCAGGAGCTTCAGTTCTCCTTACTGCTTCCTCTCTTCTGCTCTGCAGCTCCAAAGCCACAGTGATATCACATCACTTTCCTGTTTTCACAAGAAGATAACTCATCAAGATTCAGGTACAAACGCAAGAACTGAGATGGTATCGCAATTTCCGACAGCCCCTGTGACTCTGAGGCCCATTGGCCCAGACTGTCCACTCTTCCATATTGTCTTAGCTCTTGTACTCCCGGGGTACCAGGAGAGGTAAGAAATAGCAAGGGGCACTGGAAGTTGCTGGTGAAAGAGTAGCAGGACAGATGTGTCTGCAGAACCGAAAGAATGCTCTCCCTCAGAGTCATGTACCGCATAACCCATATATTGCAGAACTGGGTGTGGAGTTACAGAGCCAGGAGTACATCCACAGACCTGGAGGTGCATCTGCAGTGCCAGATATTAGCCCACACAGCATGGCATACACCACAAAATCAGATGTGCACTGCAGAACCTAGATATACACTACAGAACCAACTGTGTATCCTAGAGCCAGATGTGCCCTGCAGAGCTAAGTGTGTTCCATCGTACCAGGTGTGTACCAAAGCCAGGTATGCATGCACATCTAAATGCTCACTAGACTCTCCATGTGGGTTCTTTCCAGGGCCCTGGTCTTTGGGGATGGGAAGAAAGATGAGGCCCAGTTCAGGCTAGTGGGAGGCAGGCAGGAGCCTCTCCAGTAAGCGTCCCCCTTCTATGTGCTTTTCAGATGTTCACCCGGAACCTGCTTCCTGAGATGGGCTTTGGTCCATACAGCCATCCTGTACCCCTGTGGCTGCACTTGGGTGTGGTGTGGACAGACCAATAAAGCAGGTGGTGAGTGCATTAGGGAACCACCATATCGTTTCTGCCTCAGAGAAGGATTCAAATGTTCCATAAACTGCTTTCTAAATAATCCCAAGGATGTCGCTTCTCTCTGATCAGGGCCCTGCACTCCCCTTATGCCCTTCACTGGGTCAGTGCCAGCTCTGCAGAAACTCAGCCAAGGAGTCTGAAACTGGGGCAAACGGGTCCCTCTGCATCCTTGTCTTGCAGCCCAGATTGTCCAGGCAGCAAGGGATGCCCAACAGGACCATACCTTGACTGTCTCCTGCAGAATGGCTATTGCTTGCTCCTTATCCTCCAGCTGCTGCTGGATGTCGGCCAGGTGATCCCAGAGCCCTTCAACTGGGTCCCTGAAAGGTAAACACTGACCTTTAATCCAGGATAGGGATCATGAGGAGATGGGCAGGGAGAATTTGAGAGATAAGGGTCCACCCTCTGCAAGCACAGCAGCCCTTTTTCTCCAGATCCCTTTGATTCTGAAGGGTCTTCGTGCTGACGGGGGTTGGAGGGCTCTGTAGGCCTGTATGACAAATAGACACCATCAGCGGAGGGCCCTGCTGCCAACTGGCCCCCACCAGTGACAGTAAGTATGGATGAGGGGACATGGTTCATAGGAGGTAAAGCAAACCCAGGATCATCATGGAAGGACTTGGTCCTAGCCTGGTGTCAGGGCCCTGGCAAGCTTGGAAATGGTTTCCTTGTATGGCACACAGGCTCCCCCTTGGATGGTTGCTCTCTGGGTATTGATAGAGCCAGGACCTGCACAAATGAGGGCGCCTTCCTCAGAAGCCGACTAGCCCCTCTAGGCCCAGGGTGTACCACAGCATACCTGCCCTCTTTTGAAGATTTGTGAGCTCGTGATTGTCATGTGTCCAGCCTTCTGGAATGTAGCGACGCTCTCCATAGGCGTCCCAGAGGGGCTCGGATGAGCTGCTATTATCCACATTAAGATTTTGAGTCCTAGTGGTATGCGAGTGGGTACTTAGCCCTCCAAAAGGTCGGACAGCATCCACACCGGAGAGGCCTGGTTTCTGCAGAGTACAAAAGTTGGGAGGTGAGGTGTAGCAGGGCTGCACATGTCTGGTCTCCACTCTGGGCGGGGTCAGTGGGCAAACTGCAGAAGAAGAGAGGGAAGGACTTAGGGTGGTCGCAGTTGGAACAACTCTCAAGCGCTTTCACTATCTCAGGTAGGTGGTTCAGGCTGAGGAGGAGATGGGGGCCTGGGAAGATCCCAGATAGCAGGAAAGTCAGGAATGAGCCTAAGTGGCTACTGTCACCTCATGTATGGACTTCGTTTCATTCTGGACCACAGAGACATCCGTTTCTCTGTTTTATTCTCACACAGGCAGATTGTCTGACTGTGCACAAAGCTCAGCAGGCACAGCCCACTTGCAGGCTGAGCTGATGTACGGACACTTACAGCTGCACCAGCCGGGCCTCCGTGAGCAGTGCTGGCCTCCATTTTCTCCTTCAGCGAACACAAGATAGACTCGATAACCCCAGGCTTGTTGGACACCACCTTTTGGATGTCGGCCTCTGAGATACATAAGTGCAGCTTTTGAAAGACTTTCCTGCAAAAAAAAAAAAAGGGGGGGGGTACACTCTCAAAACAGTGCCGCCAAGGGCTGGGAGTGGAGCCCTCCCTGCAGTCCTGTCCTTGTGGGTCATGCCTTCCAGCCACGGGACAGCATCTAGTTTCCTCAGAGAGGAGAGGCTAACAAGGTGTCTTCTTTGCTCTGCAGCCCAGGGACCCATGGCAGTCTCCTTCCTGGCCTAGTGGGCCTGTGTCTCAGGAGATCCTAGAACACTTGATGCGCTCTGCTCCACCAGGCCAGGTTCTCTGCACTCAACCTTGTTTCCCTGACTGCTTGCCTTCTGTTCTAGAAGTCCTGTTGATACAGCTAGACACAGTCCCAGAACTCGGCAGCTGGGCCCACTCAGGCATGATCACCTCCCTTGAGCCTTCATTCCAGCTCTAACCTCTTAAACATAAGCTCAGGCCTGAGTCCTTCAGTGCCCCCAATCCAATCTGAGCCAGTCTTGGGGGCTCTGACATCCCTCATGCAGCACGTGTTCCCCACCTTGCTCTGCTCAAGCACTTCCTGGGTTCCCTCTTGATTTGACTACGTCTGACATGTCCAGCCTACTCTGGTTGTTCTTGGTGTCATGTAGCACAACAGACACACAGGTAGGGGCTTGTCTGAGGACAGTTTGGGAGGTGGAGTAAAATGTGCCTCCACTAATCTGTGAGAGAATAGGCTACTTGGTGGGCTGTCCCGGCAGGGAGTCCCCAGGAATCCTGGTTGTGGCATAGTCAGAGACCCGCAGCTGGAAACTTGTCGCGAAGGGGCATTAGAGAGTGTCCCTGGGTCAACCATGCCTTGCCTGTTGAGAAGGCTCCAGTTGCTCAACTTCTGGTCTGTACTGCAGGCTGGGACGTAGCTGTGCAAGTTCACCAGCCCAGGGTGGAAGTGCTTCACAATCTCGGCCACCAGCACTGTGGGAATGCAAGGTGAGCTTGGCTTGCTTGGCTAAGACCCCAGTTGCAGCTGTAATCTCTGACCACATGAGAGGCACGGAGTGAAGGGGGAGGGCACGAGCTTGTCCTGGGGAACCCGTGATTGTCCCTGAGAGTTCTCGGCACCGCACCTAGACTCCTGGACAGACCAAGGGGTAGGATAGCCTACGGAGTTACCACAGCGTGAGAGCCCAAGAGGAGCTGGAAGAGCCACAGGAGGCCAAGTTTGCCACAGCCTTTCCTAAGGAGCATGAGTATGGACTCAGGAACCGCCCCCCCCCGCCACGCCCCGGTATTGTGGGGGCTGGATTCAAGGGAGGCCCTTATCTGAGCCCTCTCATCATGTGCCCCATTGCGCCTCGCCCTCACTCGCACCACCGTCACTGAAGTCCCGAGCCAGGTGGCGCTTGGGGCGGCTGAGTGGAAGCCTGTCCAGCCAGGCGCAGAGGTTGTGAATAACCTCAGGCGGCGGCAGGAGCGCGGTAGAGCTCTGCTTGGAAGCACTGAACATGGTAGAAAGGTGCGTTTGCAGCGGCAAAAAGCCGCGGAGTAAATCGGGAGGCTTCAGACCGTTGCTAGGAGACGAGGCACAGCCGGAAGGGGCGGGACCCATACTGCACCCGGCCCACCCTCGATCCCAGATAGGCTTGGTCCTCCTGTACGTCAGTCAGGGGGCAGGACTAAATTACGACGATGGTTAAAATAAAAGAAGGTAGGCGAAATAGTAGATCTGGTGTAATAAAAACAATCTACTTTTTAGAACATGATCTGTAATCTACTGATAAAATAAAATCTTTATTAATGTCTAGTGTTTAGCAGTAAGTTAGACAATCATTCTGTCCCAATCCCGGAAATGAAGGCGATTCCTGTCCCATACATCCCCTCCCCCACAACGTAGGCTTTTCCTCCCTACGTCTCCTACGTGACTGGGATGTAGGAGATACAGGAACTGTACAAATCTGCCCCGGCCTTGGGGAGGGGTCACTAGGTGAGGGCGGATTTTGCTGGGAGGGGGGCTCCTGGCACCCTGGCTCACTGCAGGTAACGTCACCCCAGCCTAGCAACTGCAGACAAGGCCCGTGAGTGGGCAGCTGGACAGCAAGAGCCACGTAGATTATTCCTGAGGTAGGAACAGCTGGACTGCAGGTCCAGCCCGAGTGGGGGCTGTTGCTGAAGGAGCATGTTCATAGGAGCACTGGTATCTCCGAACTTCCACAAGCCTGCAGTGGCCCTGGGGTGCCCTAGCTGGTCACCTCTTCTGGACAGGGACCGTCAGAGCAACTTTTGGACCAGCAGCGCTCTGCCAGGAAAAAAGGGAAATTGATGTTATGAGCATTTGGTTTGCTATAAGTGGTACAGCTAAGTAATTCCCATTTATAATTCTTTAAATTTAAATTCTCACTTCTCCTAACGGCAGAATTAATGACCCCGTCCACACAAGATGACTACACTAATACTTCATATATGGTGTAGACTTCCCATTGCTATAGGAAAAGGAAAAATTGATAGCCCCTGATAGCAGCAAGCTCCGAAATGTTTTGACAGATTATAAAGCAGAATCAGCCTATTACTGAGGATTTTTTCCCATTTGCCTTTCAGATGTCAACAAAACTTACCAGTTAATAAACCCCCCCAAAATACCCCACCCCAGCCTCCAGAGCAGTGCCATAGTCAGCAGGATATTGCTGGTAAGCTGGACTCCCTCCCTACGGGGGCTCACCTGAGTCACCCCAGGCGTGGTCCCTCCAGTCCCAGGCTTGACTGGTGGTGTGGGAGGTGGAACGTTTGGCTTGACCTGGGAGGAAGCAGACACAGCTGATGGAGGGCATCTCCCATGAAGGCCAAGTATGGCCCAGCTTTATCCTCCCAAGGCTGCCCTGCTCATCTCCAGCCCTGAGGCCTCTGTCTTCACACAGCTCTGTAGGAAACCAGTTAATAATACCACCCCCACCCCCCCAAAAAAAAACCCACCTCAGCCTCCAGAGCAGTGCCATAGCCGGCAGGATGGTTCCGGCAAGGTAGAGTCCCTGCCGGGGCTCACCTGAGTCACTTCAGGCGTGATCCCTCCAGTCCCAGGCTTGACTGGTGGTGTTGGAGGTACAACATTTGGCTTGACCTGGGAGGAAGCAGACACAGCTGGTGGAGGGCCATACCACTCAGAGGATTAAACCTGAACCTGGCAGAGCTCCTCTTCTTGGCTAGCTGTCCTAACCCATCTTGCAGCCTGGACAGTACTCCACGATGTTACCAGAAGCTCGAAAGGAAAGAATTAACTTCTAAAACACATTTCTTTGCATTTCCACATTCCTAGAGAGGATGGTAACCTGACATTGCTTGGTTTTAGTATATCTGGAAGGCTTTGCTGAGCTTTCCTACTGGGCGAGGCACATTTTGGTCTTCTTCCTCATCCAGTTTCTCTTAATCCTTGCTCAGAAATCCCTTTGCACTGCCCCCATTTTGCCTTTAGGATTGCTTCTAGGGTTTTCTTTTCTCTTCCTTCCTTCCTTCCTTCCTTCCTTCCTTCCTTCCTTCCTTCCTTCCTCCTTCTTCTCTTTCTTTCTTTCATTGTTGTTTTGATATTTTTTAAATTTTGTTTTGTTTGGTTTTTCAAGATAGGGTTTCTCTGTGTAGTCCTGGCTGTCCTGGACTCACTCTGTAGACAAGGTTGGCCTCGAACTCAGAGATCCACCTGTCTCTGCTTCCAGACTGCTGCTATTAAAAGTGTGATATGGGATTCCCCTCTGTATGCTGTGAATATGTCTTATTATCATTGGTGTTAATAAAGAAGCTGTTTTGGACAGTGGCTTAGCAGAGTAAAGTCAAGCAGGAAATCTGAACAGAGAGAGAGAGAGAGAGAGTAGGCAGAGTCAAAGAGACACCATGTAGCTGCCAAAGGAGGCAGACATCATGTAGTCCCAAGAAGCGAGAGGTAACAATCCACAAGCCTTATAGTAAAATATAAAATAATAGAAATAGGTTAATTTTTTTTTCGAGACGGGGTTTCTCTGTAGTTTTGGAGCCTGTCCTGGAACTAGCTCTTGTAGACCAGGCTGGTCTCGAACTCACAGAGATCCTCCTGCCTCTGCCTCCCAAGTGCTGGGATTAAAGGCATGCGCTACCACCGCCCGGCTAGAAATAGGTTAATTTAAGATGCAAGAACTAGCTAAGAATACGTCTGATCTATTGGTCAAACAGTGTTGTAATTGGGGGCTGGAGAGATGGCTCAGTGGTTAAGAGCATTGCCCGCTCTTCCAAAGGTCCTGAGTTCAATTCCCAGCAACCACATGGTGGCTTACAACCATCTGTAATGAGGTCTGGTGCTCTCTTCTGGCCTGTAGGCATACACACAGACAGAATATTGTATACATAATAAATAAATAAAAAAAACAGTGTTGTAATTAATATAGTTTCTGTGTGATTATTTGGTCTGGACAGCCACAAAATGAACGTGCAGCATCTATCTACAAAGGTATGTGCCACCACCACCACCTGGCTAGACTTTTTCAGCTCTTATGTAAATCTAAAATTAGTATTGGCTAGGCACAGTGATGTATATTTTTAATCCCAGCACTCAAGAGGCCGAGGCAGGAGGATCTCTATGAGTTTGAGGCCAGCCTGGTCTGCACAGAGAGCTTCAGGCCAGCCAAGGCTACATAGCGAGGCCCTGATTAAAAAGTAAATAAATAATTTCCCTCTTCCCTCCAGAAATGGAAAAAGAAAAACAGAAAATCACACCTATAATACCAACACTCAAGAGGCTGAAGCAGGAGGATCACCGTGAGTTTAAGGGCCAGCCTGGGATACACAGTGAGTTCCATATCAACCTGGGCTAAAGTGAGACTAAATTTAAAAAAACAAAACTAAACAAACAAAAACCAGGGGCTTGTGAGATGGCTCACTGGGTAAAGACACTTATGCAAGCATGGCAATCTGAGTTCAAGCTCTGCAGCATACGTAAGAGTGGAAGGAATGAACTAGTTCTACAAAGTTGTCCTCTGATCCTGCTTGCATGCTATGGCTTGCATGCACACATCACAGCATACCACACACAATAATAATGATAATGATAATTAATAATAATAAACAGCAGTAGCAGCAGCAGCAGCAGCAAGGGCCACTGAGACTGATCACACAGTAAAGGTGCTTGCAGCACGAGCCTAACGACCTGAGCTTGAGTCCCAGAACCAAGTAAAGTTGACCTCCATATGTGCATACATGCCCACGTACATCATACACACAATAATAGATAAATAAATAAAGGAAGAAAACATGAAATTGCTATAGCAAGACATAGTGACAGTTGTTAACGGCTAAGTGTCAAACTTTCCAGAGATGTGGAATTTTAAGAGTCTCCAGATGGGGACTGGAGAGATGGTTCAGAGGTTAAGAGCACTGGTCCTGAGTTCAATTCCCAGCAACCAATGGTGGCACATAACCATCTATAATGAGAGCTTATGTCCTCTTCTGGGCTGCAGGCATACATGCAGGTAGAACACTGAATACATAATGAATAAATAAATCTTAAAAAAAAAAAGAAAAAACCTCTTGGAAACAGTAAAAGGAACGCAAAAACAGAATGAAGAAGGTCAGGGGGACTGCGAAGGCCAATGTTGGTGCTGGCAAAAAGCCAAAGGAGTAGATCTGCAGTGACTCATCTGCTATGATATGCCGACAATTTCCCAGAGGACAAATAAATTAAAGGCTTATGTGTCTGGAGTATGCTGTTTATTGGATGTTAGTAGAATCAGGTGGCTGGGCTAGAGAGATGGCTCAGGTTAAAAGCATTGACTGCTCTTTTCCCAGAGGTCCTGAGCTCAATTCCCAACAACCACATGGTAGCTCACAGCCATCTATAATGAGATCTAGATGCCTCTACCGACGTGCAGGCAGAACACTGCATACATAATAAATAAAATTTTTTGAAAGAAAAAAAAAGTCTCGAGATGATCTCCCAAGCATTCATTCGTTTCCCTAGACATCAGTTCATTTCGCACAAAGACAGTTCCCAGCAAAGAACTCACTGGCATTCAGAGCCCTATCCTGTCTTGGTTACTTTCCATGCTCTTCCTGTATCAACCCACATTCACTTACAATAAGAAGATAAGAAGTAGACAAACGAAAGGACACTCAGAAAACTGTCAACTAGCACTTTCCAGATGAGCAGTGTAGACTGAAAGCCGCTTGAGAGCCACAAGTGCCCAGAAGAGCAGCTAAGACCCTTAACAAGGTCTCGGGCAGAGCAAAGAACAAATAGTCACCCTTCAGGTCCCACAGGTCAGGAGGGCAGCTGACTTGTGCAGTTAAGGCCTGTGTCAGAGTCAGGGGCAACTGGGTGTCTGTCCTGCTGCTACCTTGCATTTGCTCCCTGGGACAGGCAAGCCTATGCACCTACACACAGGTTCTCTACCGGTCCAGCCATGACCCCAGAGTAGCTACCTAGGGCTGGGGCTAGAGCAGAGTCCCATGGATTCTCAGAAGTAGGAGAAGTTGGGGGGGGGCATGCCCAGGAGTCCTGGATTTTCTGCCTGGAAGTGACTTCACCACTGTCTCTTTTTCTCCCTGAGTGTGATACCCAAGCCCACTAAAAGACTCTCCAAACCCCATTCTACATGGGTTCAGCAGCCTGCCCGGTAAGAGCAGGCCTCCAGGCCCTGCAGAGGTGGTTTCTACCAAGTGGCCTCGGAGACCCGAGACCCACAGTGACTCTAAACAGGCTGCCCCTTTTAGGTCTAAGCAAAGGGGTTCCCGTTCATCTAGAGGTGAAGAGCCCTGCTGGGAATGACTCCAACACCGCAGGGAAGAATGAACTGGAATGAATCTCTACTTTCAAAGCTTTAGGAAGTGGCATTTTGAGACCTTCCAAATCTCTATAGCTTCCTCCCAAGGAAAAGTGTAGGATTATTTGTCTCTGGAGCAAAGGGCCACAGGCCTGAAGGAGGGGAGGGTCTCCTCAGAGTTAAGGCTGTCTCTTTACCTGCTTGGGTTTCAGCTTTGGGAGGGGCTTGGTAGGTGGAACAGGTCTAAGCTGTTGGAAGAAAGAGACAGAATCAGGATCCAGGGAGCAGAGCAGTTCAGGGTTGGGGGATAGAGCAGTAGTACCCCTCCCTCCCAGGCTCCCTGAATCCACCCTTAGGTTCAATTTACTATCCCAGCTAGGCAAGGCTAATTTACTTTGCCAGTACAGCAGCTGTTTCCTAAGGCCCCAGGCCCACAGAGTCAGCCACTAGATGCCACCTCCAGGAGGTTTCCATGTCCTCAGAACACACATGGCTGTTTCCCAAGGCTTATTAGATTTGTTACCTGCTGAGTATAAACTGGAACTGGAAGTGGTGGACTGGACACAGGAGCTGGAGGCTTCAGGGAACAGAAATGTGAGCCTGGGCCCAAGAAGCAGTGCTTGCCCCCAACCCATGCCCACCAGGTCCCCTGCTTTAAGGACCCAAGACTCTTACACTTCCCAAATGGTACTCCCTCCACCCCCTCTTTCCTGCTCACCCTGGGTGAGATGCGTGGCCTATCCCATTTTCCTCTCACAGTTCAGGTCTGAGAACCCTCAAACCCACAAGTCCAGACTCCAAATATAGATCCTCAGGGGACACATCTTGATCTAGTCCCTCTCCTTCCCTTGGGGTGACTGAGATACTTCTCAAGACTCATGAGTTAATTTATACAAAAAAGTTTCACTATCCCTACTGGGCTGCAACCTGAGTTCCCCTCTGTTCAACCCCATGAGCAGTAGCACCTCCACCCCCAGAGGACAGTACTTACTGCAGGGGGTGGCCTCTTTGGTGTCACTGTAGGTCTCGGGGGCTGGTTGGTACAAACCACCTCTGGGGTGCCTGGAGGCCTTCTCTTATCTGGCAGGCTGCTGTCCCTCATGAAGAATAGGGGGTTGGAGAGCCCTGTGGTGGGCTTGGGTGCCACACTCCTGGGGAGAAAAAGAGACAAACAATGGTGTGGTCATTTCTAGGCAAAGAATCCAGGATTCCTACTGAGGCTGGCATCTCTACCCTGGTACACCCTACACAGGCTGCAAGCTGTAGTCATAGGCACACGGTGAGCCCAGGAGGCAAGGAGCAAGTCTCTTGACAGCTGTGCTAAGGTGTTTGGAGGATCTTGGAAAAGCCGTGCTTTGGCAGTCAGTTTGGGGGTCAAGGTCTTGGTGCAGGGCATGGTAGGAACCTAGTGGGGCATATGTGGCCATGGCTAGGGGTGGGAAGGTCATCTCAACTCTGGACTTACCGTATCCCTATCTGTTGCCCACACTGTCCCTTTAAAGCCTCGAAGGAGGAGGAGGAAGAGGAGGAGAAAGAAAGAAGAGGAGGAAGAGGAGGAGAAGAAGCAACAGAAGAGATTCTGGGAGTCTCCTGAGCTTCCCACCAAGCCTTCCCAGCACCCAGAGAACCCCAAGGCCCCTTGAATGCCCTGCCCGGGCCTGCTGACAGAAGCAATGTTTTTTCTTTTTTTCTTAAGTAGCCGCAAAGCCACTTCCCAAGTGCCGAGAACAGGAAGTATATGTCTCATATGTAGATATGTCACAACTTCCATGTCCTCACCTCCTCTGGACTTGGCTCTGGACCTTTCGGTAGAAGATGACACCTGCCAGGATGACCGCCACGAGGATCACCAAAGCCACCACCACCACACCAACTGGAAGGCTCCCAGATGCTGCGTGACACATGGCCACATGATCATCCAGGACTGGGACCAGTTGGATCAAGAGCTGGGGAGGGCCCTTGGGAGATACTGGCCCAAGGATCAGTCCCTTTTGACCATGTCCTAGGTCCCACACCCCACATGTGGTCAAGTGCCTGAGGACTCCAGCAGAGGGCCCGGTACATTACACCAGCTCTTCAGGCGCTCCGGCAATGGGTTAGACGTGGTGAGTGCCAGCCCCACAGTGCCACCGTTGAGGCCTAGCCAGGCTCCCGAGGCTGCGGTGCTGTGGACAGCCGCAGTGACCACTGGGGAGGAAGACACTATGGGGGTTGTAGGGAGTGGCCCTGGATGCCTGGGCCAAGGCTATCTGGCCTTGTTTTGAGCAGGACATAGTCACCTTTGAGATGCAGAGATATGGGATCCCTCCTAATCACCCTCAAGACCGGCAACCCGCAAAAACCAGCTCTTGTGGTTCTCAGGACCTTACCTGCTCGCCCAGCTGGTACATCTGCCAGCAGCTGTGCACAGTGGGGCGGGGCCCAGCCCGCATGGCAGTGACACTCTCTCTTATGGTTGCATACCTGGAGGGAAAGCTGGGCCTCAAGGACGGGTATCCCACAGGGCAGCAGAGCAGATCGTGGCACACATAGGATTCTCCTCCATCCACCCACATATGTCAATCTTACGATTACAAGGAGTATCCCTAGTGACCACACTGGTCACTGGCCACGAGTTCAGTGGAGGGCACCTGTCCTACCTTAGCCTCAGAGAGGACTTGTTGATGCCTCCATTAGAAGGATATAGGCTAGTCTGAGCCCACACTGCTATGCCCACAGCTATCTCTGTCACAAGCTTCATATGACAAGTAAGTGGTGGTAGCTTGAGGGCACCAGTCAGTGGGTATACCATGCCCCGAGGTCCTGGGCCACACGTACCCCATGGTTGTTGCACTTAGCAGAGCAATTCTCAGATCTATATACATGGAGGTCCTGGCAGCGTCCACCCATGCAAACCTGGAAGGTGGAAGGGGCTCCTGGGTAGTTGGCCTAGACCCCACCCCCACCCCACTATCTTCAAACCCAAAGGTCAGTCCAGGACAGCTGGTGTGTTCACACTCTAGGATAACTAGGCCCTTATACTTGTGTGTGTGTGTGTGTGTGTGCGCACGCGCACACGCACACATGGGATAGGGGCTCAGCCATGAGAATGGTACTGGACTGGCTGACCCTGGGGACACCTTGGCTGTGGTGGTCTCCAGACAGGTGCCTCTGCTTGTCCAGTTACCTTGTCAGGTTTGACTAGGGGATAAGAGGTTCCACGCACATGCCCCCACCAGTCAACACTGTCTGTACAGGACATCATTAGAGCCTCATAGGGGCACATTTGGTCTTCAGCAGCCTGGGATAGCTTTCAAGCGCTTCTCAGCTCACCTTCCCCTCCTCGCACTTGGTGCCCTGGAGTACCAGCTCATAGGTGTCAGAGTTGCTCTCTGTGCCAAGAGCGTGGCAGATTCCATGGTGGGTGGAGAAACTGCAGGAGGAACGTTCAAGGGGCTTCTGGCCTCCCTCACAGTACAGCACCCCACACCGGTTCATTCTGCAGACAGAGGGCAGGCTGTGGTCACAGGTGTCATGGGCACGTGCTCAGAGGCCTGGGAGCTGCAGGAGATGGCCCCAGGCCTCTCCTTCCTCAAAGTTTGATGACTTGAAGCGGGGCAGACTCCAGGAGAGCCACCTGTCTCACAGAGCAGTCCTCCTCTGTGGGGAATTGTCAGTGAAGACACGCCACCCCCAGTCCCCAGCTGTTACTTACTTGCCAGGGTACATAGTGACCCTGCAGCCCCGAGTGATGCTAAAGGTAAAGCAGGAGTCTGATGCAGCCCGGGCACCTGGGGGGCAGGAGAAGTTAGCCTGGTGTAGGTCACAGACACTCCACAAGCTTGCCCCCATCCTATGCTCATGCCTGCCTCACCTGGCCCCCATAGATCCTGGCACTGTTGTGTCAGTGTGGGGCAGCTCCCATCAAAGCAGTAGCCCCCCGGGCAGGGTGTGCCATTCTGTTGGAAAGCATCTTCAGGGCATGTTGGCTTCTGGCCATCACAGAACTCCTCCAGGTCACATTTGTCCTTCATGGGACGACACAGCTCACCGGCTGGCTTCACCTGGTACCACAGAGAAGCTCACCGTGGAACAGGTCCACATGATGCCTTCATAGGTATCCTGTTGTCCCGGGCTTGACTGGGGCGGATCCTGGGTGGAGTCCAACTTACCTTGCACTCATGACAGCAGGCACCATAAGCACACTCTGCCCCCTTGACTAGCTGGCAAGAGGTGGCATTGCAGCAGGGGTTCTTACAGTCCTAGGAGGACAGTGGTTTCAACAGCTATGCCCTAGCCAGACCCGGCTGCAGGGTAAATTAGCTTTTGGTGAACTTTGGCCAAGGGGCTGCAGACAATTTTTCTCCAATTCCTTAATAAGTTATTAGGGGCTCAAAGGGAAATGTGGTAACGTGTGATTCCCAAGGGTTACACGTGGTGTGGGCACATAACGTCAGGCCTGAGACGCTAACCTAAGCAAAAAGGAACCGGGGTTGAGGCCCCTACACTAATGCTGAGGCTGACCAGCAAGGGGCAGGGAGAGGGTGAGACAGACCTGAGGTGTACCACAGTCACACTGCTCTCCATGCTCTACAAATCGGTTTCCACACACAGGGCCTCCCACGAACCGGTTGACATCTGGGACATTGGTCAGGCAGCCTGTCTGGGGCTTCATCACGAATGACTCTAGGTCAACCTGGCTACACCTGCTGAATTTCCTTGGGAAGTTGGAGCTAAGGGAAAAGGGATATGACCATCAGGGAGTTCCACATGCCAGTCTGTTCCTTCCCACCCAACATGTCCCACTGGACCTCACCCAAATATTTGGGTCATGATGCAGCCACCAGCCTCACGTGGTACAGGGCAGTAGCAGCCTGGGACGCTCTCATCATGGTTCATGCCCAAGTTGTGGCCCAGCTCATGGGCCATGGTGGATGCTACACCAATGGGGTCCCTGGCATTGTCCTATGAGGATATGATCATTAGTACTGTCTTGCTACCATCTACCCACATGCCCTCTGCCACCCTAGGTGTCAACAGGTGTGATGCTGCTTTCTGCTTAATATCCTAACAAAAAACAGGTTCCAAATCCATCCCCGGAGTAGGTGACTGCTTCATGGTTTCTTAGGGACCTGGACTGACACTTCTACCCAACAACTCAGGTTCTGTGCTTGACTGTTCAGCCACCAGACAGCTTGGCAAAATTGGGTGAGAGTTCCATTTACCTGGTTCACAGCTCCTGAGTGCCAGGAACACAGGGCAGATACCTTAGCCAGTCCGACAGTGTTGCCGATGAAATCAACCCCTCTAGAAACAGACATAACATGTAATATCCTGGACATGGTTCCTGGCCCCTCTTCATCCCTTCACAGCTCTGCTCTGGTGTCCTGCCCTCGAGGCCAGGCTGTACAGAAGCCAAATCTCCCGGGCCTGGCTCTGTCTCACTGTGGTGGATGGGTGTGCGGGCCCACTCACGTGATAAGTTGCACGTTGTCATGTGGGTACTGCCCTAGCAAGTTCTGTTCCCTCCAGTTCAAGAAGTTCTCCAGTGTTACATTGGCATGGGGGCTGATGTAGAACTTGTCTCTGCTCCAGATCTCCAGGCCCACCAGGACCACACGGAAATCGAGCTCCTGATAAAGCTGCAGAGGGTGAGATGCCACCTAGGTCAGGCTGGGGTTGGGGTAGACAGGGGCATTACATCCATTTCACCACTGAGGGGTACTGAGTCTAGGTGATGGCCAGGTACTGAGCTCAGTATACAGCCCTGAACTAGTTCCCCTCTTGATCGGCTGCTAGCTTGCCCTTTCCACCCCAAGCAAGTGTCAGCATCCCTGGGGCAACCTACCTTGTCCACGTGGTTTACTACCTCCAACACACGCTGGCGCACGGCCTCTCTGCTTCCCAGCCTCCGGAACTGGAAACATACTGTCTTTAGGCTGGGACCTGGCAACCTCATCCCAGCTCATCCAGCCCTCTCAGCCCCTGCATCCCATACCTCTTGGCTGTCTGTGACCACATACAACTCCACATATCGGGGTTCTCTGGGTATCAGCCAGTTCTAGGGAAAGAATCTAGTCAGCATTCTTGGCCCTGACCCAACTTACCCCAGAGCCCAACTCTGTGCCGGGAGGCAAAGTCTAGACATCTCCAGTGCTTTCTCTGTAGCAGCAGGGTTGAACCGGGTCCAACCACTGGCCATGGGGACTACTTCAGGACTACAGACAGCCATGCGTAGGCCCAAACATGGGCTCTGTGGCTTGACTGGCCAGCAGGGGCTGCTCACCCGAGGCTGAGAACTGTAGATTTCTAAGGCCCGAGGCCCTAAGTCATCCAGGCTAGTGTCGCTGACCCCACAGGTCCCAGCCTTCTCTTGCAGGTGCTTCTCCTGGTACATCGCATGCTGCCCCTCTTCACCACCATCCAGAGGCTCAATCAAGTGGATAGTGGACCCAACTCGGAAAAAGCCCCTGAAGGGAGAGTCAGGTGGACAGAGGGTATGGTCAGCTTGCCTATCAGGGATTACAGGTAGTCCATGCCTACTGCCTTGGAACTGCCACCTCCCACCCTTGTGGGAGATGCCCAGGCTTGTGGACATAGGAGACAAGAAGGCACATGGATTTGGCGTGGCTGGAAATTCTCTTTTTTTTTTTTTTTTTTTTTGTTTTGTTTTGTTTTGTTTTTCGAGAGACAGGGTTTCTCTGGTTTTGGAGCCTGTCCTGGAACTAGCTCTTATAGACCAGGTTGGTCTCGAACTCACAGAGATCTGCCTGCCTCTGCCTCCTGAGTGCTGGGATTAAAGGTGTGCGCCACCACCACCCGGCTGGAAATTTTTTTTAAATTAATATTTATTTATTATGTATACAATATTCTGTCTCTGTGTATGTCTGCAGGCCAGAAGAGGGCACCAGACCTCATTACAAATGGTTGTGAGCCACCATGTGGTTGCCGGGAATTGAACTCAGGACCTTTGGAAGAGCAGGCAATGCTCTTAACCACTGAGCCATCTCTCCAGCCCCCCGGCTGGAAATTCTTAATGGAGTCTAAGAGCCCCAACCCTTCCAAACACAGACCAGCAAAGACATTTTTGTTTTTTCAAAGTCTCATGCCTGCCTCTGCCTCCCAAGTGCTGGGATTAAGGGCGTGCGCCACCACCACCTGGCTTATTCCTTTTTTTTTTTTTTAAGATTTATTTATTTTTATTTTATATGCACTGGTGTTTTGCCTGCATATATGTCTGTGTGAAGGTGTCAGATCTTGGCGTTACAGACAGTGGTGAGCTCCTATGAGGGCACTGGAAATTGAATCCAGGTCCTCTGGAAGAGCAGTCAGTGTTCACAACTGCTGAGCCATCTGTCCAGCCCCAGGCCTTTTTTACACTACCTCAGTTTACCCTTCTGTAGAATGGGACTTCCTGCTTGGGTCTGCAGTACATACCTGAGGCCAGCACAGGTGCTAAGGCTGGCCGCTGAGCCCTGGTACCCTTCCACATGGCCCTGGTAGAGGCAGTGGTCCTGAAGAAGGGAGAGAGGGTCATAGGTCCTGCTGCCACAATCTCATTGGCCCAGGGAAGACTGTCCTGGCACATACCTGCCCAGGCAGCTGTTCTGTCACCTCGGAGCCATTGGCAGCTGAGTAGGTCTCTGTGTAGCTCGAACCCAGCAGGTCCCTGGAAGGGAACCACTTAAGCTCCCTAGTTTCACCTTCCCCCTGAGCAGCCCCTATAAAGAGCCTACACTTCCCACTGGACTCAGGAACTGACTCAAGAGCCAGAATCTGCTTACCTGTTCTTCCGAAGGTGCAGGGTGAACATGTGTTCTTTGGTCCCAAGAGCATAGCTCAGATTCTCTGGGTACTGGCCCTGGATGGGGATTCAGAGTGAATGGCCTTCAGCTTATGGCCAGGGTTTCTCATAGTAAAGAGCCCCAGAAGGACCTCCCTAGGAGACCTTGGCAATTCATTAGTTTCAGGCAAGAAAGTAGGTGGCTGGGGCCAGGTTGAGCTATTTGGGAAGGACAGGCAAAGCAAGTCTCCAAGATGAAGAAGAAAAGCATAGAGCTTCCTGGCCCCTTGAGCCATTTCCCCATTTGTTCACAGGATGATGATGAAGATGATGATATGACATTCCTTCCCAGAGGAAGCAGGGTAGGAAATGATAGGGAGCCTTAGCCAGAGCCACTGAATCCAGGGCAACACGGGGGTGGGCAAGGTAAACAGACCCTCTCAGCAGCACCATTGCACAGCTGGCTATGGTGTCCATCCTGAGGTTCAGGGCAGGTGTGTGTTCTACACTCTATGACCTTTCACTCATACACCATGTGCACAACCAGCTAGCCCTAGGGACAGCATACACCAGGAAAAAGGAAAGCCCAGGCAGAGATGTTTCCTGGAGATCCAAACAAGGACAGGCCCAGGAACCTTCCTGGAGGTCTATAGGCTATACTCGGTTCCCAGCCCCAGGAAATCCCAGTCGGAGCGGTTCTAGTCGCGTTTACATAGCTTTAGGGTGAGCAGCTGCTGGCTAATCTGAAAGAACCACTGCCAACTGAAACTGGGGAGTGGCCTGGGGCAGCACAAGCTGCTGTACCTCTCCTGGGTGACAGGCCTCTCCAGGTGGAGCCAATGGCCTCCAAAGGAGCGAAGCCTGAATCAGAGAAGACTCTGATTCAGGGTTGTGGCAGGAAGTGGTGAGCACAACAGGGAGAGACCATAGTCATGCCCAGACACACAGACAGGTTTAGGTACTGCAGCTGTGCAGAGCAGCCCCCAGAGACTGCTGGTCCTTTCACAGAAACAGGTTGTACAGTGGAGCTAATGGACTCACCCAGGGGGAGGGCAGGTCTCTGCGGGAGCGGGACGCAGTCAGGCGCCGAGGCCATACCACCTCATACTCTTTCACATTGGGCAAAGGGGGTCCAGGAGCTACGGCTGCAGGAGAAAGGGGTCAGAAGGCACAGCAAGGCAGTGCTTCCCCTCTTATCTGGAGAATCACCACATGGCTAGGTACCAGCAATGGGATCTGACCTGTTGGTCCAGGTAAGAGCTTTGTGCCTAAAATACCACCGGATCCATCGCACTAGAGTCAGCGGTCTGAACCTAGCACGCCACGCACGGTGCCCCCATCCTTCCCTAGTGCCTATCTAAACCTATCCAGAGAGAAAACACATAGGCCCTTGGTCTGCCTGCCAGACATCTAGAGTTGACCTGATCTCATCTTTAGTTACATGATCAGATCTAATTGATTAAGAAAGCACACCCTCCCTCAGGTTTTTCTCTTCCCAACAGAAAATTTTGTGTCCAACAACAGATGTCCCTCTATAGGCAGGCCCAGTTTTAGAGACCACCTATCCCAGAGAAGTGTCCTCTCTTGGCATGGGCAAAGGGTGTAGCTTCTTAACTCCAAACTTCCAGGACTAAGAGGTAAGAGGAGAGACCATTCCAGCCAGATGCCTCCCAGGACAGAAGTAAACCAAGTCTTCCAGTGGGAGTCAGGACCCTGTGTTCCTAGGGAGCTGGGACCATTGCATCTCTAGCTTCTGACCCTGCCCAGCTAGAGGGTTCACCATCATCCATGGTCCCACAGGTGAGTGAACCTTGCTGACTGGACTCCTATAGCAGCCAGGGAAGCTGCCCTGTGGGCACCACACCTAGCGGTGTCACTCTTTCTGTAATCTGCTCAGGAGGGAAAGTCCCAGGAGCCAACTTCTCTTACACTTCACTTCTGAAAAATTCAAATTCTGATCTTTTCTGTATCTACCTATTTTCTCCATACCCAAGGACCAACTCTAGGGAGGCAAGGTGACCTGACTATAACTGGCTACTAGGTCGAATACCAAGCCCTGAATGGGTTTCTTGAAATCAAATCATCACTCACCTGGTGTCCACAGGGCGCTGAGTAGCCAGAGGCCAAGCATGATGGGATCTTGAAGACACTAACCCTAGAGGTTCCACAAAGTTCTGTCTTGAGCACTGACTAGTGTGGTTACTTCTGAGAGCCCTTCCCAGAGATCAGGGCTGGCCAATCGCTAAGTCATGGGGCGGGCTGGGGTGGGGCTGGGCGGGGCGAGATGTGTACACCTCTGTACCAGTATCCTGCTGGCAGCAACCAGCCCCCAGAGCAGTCTGGAGTTAGAGGCTATTCCCCAGTGGCTTCTGGCTAGCTTTGCATCTCCCATAATTGGGGACCAAATTAACAGGAGCTGGAGACGGTACATGGACTAACTCTACAAGCTCCTAGTCCTGGTGGAGAAACCAAGAGCTTGCCTTCTAGTCCTACCAGAGCTGGGGAGTGCTAATTGGGTGGAGTCTAACTGGAGGAAGGTGACTTGTGAAGGGGAAGTTACTTGTAAGCCTGAAACGTCAGAAGGTGGGGACCCTTTGACTTCCAGGACAACTGAAAGCCTTAGGGAGGGCCAGTGTGGTCCCGGGACCACTCTGTGGGAGCTGACATTTTCCAAAATCTCTGCCGAGCTCTACCATGCTTTTGAGGCCTCACTGGGAAGGGAAATGCAGGTAGGAACAGGCAGGTGGATATCTAGGCCCAGGTGACCAAGTGACAGCAAGCAAAAAGTCTACCTGACTGACTGATCCTTTCGGGTCCTGATGCACCAGTCTCCATGTATATGCCTGAATTCTGTCCTTCGTGTCCCAAAGGTAGTGCTGTCCCAGAACCAGAGGTCTCAGCACCCCTATATGGCCTAGTTCCCAGTTTCTCCAGGTGGGTCTGTTACTGTGGGAACCCAGGACTATTTGGAATATAGTCAAGCCTGTTTATTATTTGTGCTAATGTCTTCTTCTGTGACCCAGCCTTGTGGACATATATGGTTAGACCTTACAGACTCCACAAATCTACCAAACCAGGGGTAAGAGACCTAAAGGGAGAGACACCCAGACTATCAACAGGGCTTGAGAATTCAGCCAGAAGAAACTAGTGGGGCTGGGCTGGAGTCTTGGACCATATCCTGAGGGCTATACCTAAGAATTTAAGCTGGGGCACAAAGGACACCATTACCCCCACTGGTCAGAAATGTAGCAATGGTTTAGGAATCTCACCAGCAACCTGCTGCCAGAGGTATCAGCCCACAGTGCTTAGGGTTAGAACAGACACCAGGCTGCAGAAAGCAGCAGGCAGAGCTCTTGGGCAAGGCTGACTTCCACATACACAGGACCTTAGTAACAGTGAAGGTTCAAAGCAATTTTTCCTTAGTCAAACAGTAGGCACAATCGAAAGCTGTTGTCAGTATGTATGTACCACTGTCTTGTAAGTCCAACCATCTATAGTGAAGGCAACGGAACAGGGTAAAATCAAAAGCCAGGACCAGGTGGGGCCAATTTTGTCCTGCCCTGGCAGAAATACATTGGAAATGATGGGTACTCACTCCACCACATAAGACAGACTCAACTTACTGCTATCTTCGCCCAGCAGGTGCTCTGAAGGTTTGTAGTTGGGTCCCATACAAACCTGGGAGCTGCAGATCCAAGACCAGAGACACGGGTGTCTGGACTCCTGGAAACAGACCACTAAGCTCTGCTTAGTCTGGCATTTATTCTGACAACACTGGCTTGGCCAATGTGCGTTTACTCAGGCAAGCCTGCACATGCTGCAGACCAGAAGAAACAAAACAAAAACACAGGCACTCCAGGGGGCCTCTGTTTAGCTAGCCAGTCCTGACTGGGTCATCCACAGTCTTACCAGCTGCAGAATCAAGAGATCTGCCTCCAGTTCTCACTCCTCCACACACTTCCTCATTCCCCAAGCTCACCTGGGGCAGATGTTTAAAACTGTCCACACAGGACTGAAACAAAAAGCCACTGAGGATGAGGCGGCCACAGTACAACTTGTTAGATACTTTGCTGAATAATTTTCAAAAGGAAAGGCCTGCATCTAATGGATAAAGGGCATCCAGACCCTGATGGGCAGGAGTAGCGTCCAGCTTGAAGCTTAGTCTGTCTCCAAGGACACATCTCAGAAAGTACACCTTAAGGGTTCTGGGTGAAGAGTTGGGCACACACTGGTGAAGTGAGAACACCTTCAGTTAGGGATAATGCTGCCCCCTAGCGTCCATAAAGGCAGATCCAAACCATGTAGAGAACAGTCCCAACCCCCAGGCTACACCTCCCTTGCCTGGTCTTTTCTAATTATATTGCTCCTTGCATAAAGATGCTTTTACTGTCTGAGGCTAAAAGCACCGCCCTACACACACACACACACACACACACACACACACACACACACACACACACTGGACTTTGAAGGCAAACACAGGTAAGTTTGAGGAAACCTCTGGTACAGTCAGCTTCCGTTTTTATTCCTTTTGCAAGTACATGTACATATTTGTGTGTGTGTGCACGCTTGTGCATGTAGAAGCGAGAGACTGATACCAGTTACTTCCTCTATTACTATCCATCCTATTTTTAATTTTAATTAATTAATTTAGAGACAAGTCTCTTGACCTCATCCCTAGGAACCCTTTCTCCCTGCCCCAGCACTGGGAATAGAATGCTCTACTACACTCAACTTTTTATACAGGGGGTGTATTGGGTGAAATTTACATCAATTTCAAATAAAATAGAGCTATTTTAGAAGAGGGAACGTCAACTGAGAAAATGCCCCACAAGGCTGTTCTGTGGCGCATTTCCTTGATGCTTGATAACAGGAAGGGCCAGCTCAGCGTGGACAGTGTGGCCTCTGAGCAGGCCCTGGGTGTGATTAAAAAAAGCAAGGTCGAGAAAGCCATGGGAGAAAGCCAGTAAGCAGCCCTCCTCCATGGCCTCTGTATCTGTTCCTGCCCTGATTGTCCTGGATGACAGACTATATTACAAGCTATAAGATGAGACAAACCCTACTCTCTTCGAGTTGCTTTTGCTTATGGTGTTTCATCATAGCAACGAAAGCCCTAAGAAAGATGGTAAGGATCTGAACTCAGGTCCTAACACTTGCACAGAAAGCACGTACTGACTAAGCTATCTCTCCAGCCCTCTGAAAAGCTTCCAAAAGGAAATCTAGTACCTTGAAAAAGGAACTCATTGAGCCAAGATGGAATCTCAAACCACACTTAAACAATAACAACACCAATGTCCACGTTCAGAAAGATGGTATTTAAAAGGGGAGCTCATTGTGCAGGGATGGCCACTCTGGGTGTTGATGCTGGGGGCCCCCTTGGGATGGGCACTTGGGGAGCAGCCTTCTGACTCCTCTCTGCAGACAGACGTTCCAGGCGTTCGGCATAGAAACCATTGAAATCCAGCCTTTAGAGGAGGGAAAGGAGGGTCAGGGAAACTCCAGGATAGGGCAGAGTCCAGCCCAAGCTGAGAAGATATACATGTGGCAACCCCACTTCTCCCAATCATGTAAAGGTGAGTAACAGACACAACTAGGACCTCTTCCAGGTAGAGGGAAGGGCATGCTCCACCTGCCAGTGCATGGATACTCTTGCAGGTCTCAATCCTGGTAGGCTTTATTGAACACCATGGGTGAGGGTTCCTATCACACAGTATCTCCTGGCAATGGAATTCTGAGGGTGCCCCAGGCTTGGGAAGCCTGACAGTGACTTTCGGTTCTAGGAACCCTTGAAACTAGGGCATTGTAGGACGGCACAATGTACCAGATGATTCCAGTGTACAAACTAGCACTTTTCAAAAGGGTAATTCATGGATGGTACCCAGTTCCTGGTTGAAGTCAAAGCCCCTTCCCTATCCCAGTGATAAGCAGTCACCCCTTCACCAGAGTATTCACAGCTGGCACCTCTTCCATCTTTCACCTTTGCCCAGATTAGGACGCCTGCTGCTAGGGATATGGGGAGCAAGGGCTACAGTGAAAGCAGATGACAGGGTTAGGCTTCAAAGTCAGGAAGGGTGTTTCTTACCTGGAGATGACGCTGGCCATGCCATGTTCATAGTTACTGGTGCTGTACACACTTAGTCGGTCCAGCAAATCAAGAAGATGGGCAGAAAAGTTTTTGTCAAAGTTATTGATGGTGGCCTCGAACCCAGAGGCCAGCTGAGGAGTATCCACATGCTCGGACAGGTGCTGGAGACAAACCCCAGGGAGCTCAGTATCAGTTACCAGGTAGGCACTTAACCTCTCTGCTGGCTACAAGGATGTTCTTCCCTTTTTGTGTTTCTTTTCTTAGTTTTGAGACAGACTGTTGTTACCATAGCTCAGGCTGGCTTGTGATTCCCCTACCACAGCCTTCTGAGTGTAGGAATTACAGCATGTGCCACCACTTCTGACTCTTTTTTTTGGAGACAGAGTCTCATGTTGTCCAGGTTGGCCTGGAACTCACCTTGAATGCTTGATCCTCCTGCCTCTACCCTCCAAATGTTGTTAATGAAAGAAGTTGTGATGTTCCCATTATTAGACAAGATGGGAAGCTGGGGTATCAGAACACAGCAAATGGAGAAATACTTAGGGCAACAGGCCCACTGGGGCTTCTCCAGGCTCACAGCATGGAGAACCAACAATGGGTACTATATGCTCTCTACAGGTCTGATTTCAGCACTGGTGTGCTTTCCTCCTGTACACTAAGAAGCAAGGAGGATAGACCTTATCTCCTTTTGTCCTTGGCTTCTGACCCTCACATGCTCCCAGACCATCTCCCAATTGCCAACTCGTGGCCATGAATCCTGAAGGCTGCATAGGTCATCTGCACCAACAGGGATAAGCACTAAGCACCAACTGCAGCCAAGCAAAGCTCTGTGCTCTAGGGCATTCAGGCCCACTCCACACAATACTGTTGTATAGATGACTTGGCCACACTCTGGAGACCAGATGTCTGGAGGCTCAGTGGAAAGACTCTAATGGCTGTGTTTTGAACCTAACTGCAGGACCCGTTTTTTTCCCCCATCACATGGGTGACAACCAGGAAAGGGTTAAAAATGGTTAATTTTTTTTGTTTGTTTGTCTTTTTTGGAGACAGGTCTGGTCTCAAACTTGTTATGGAGCTAAAGCTGGCTCTGAACAACCGATCCTCCTGCTTCCACTTCCCAAGTGCTGGAATTCCAGGTATATGCCCCCATACCTGATTTATATTTGTTTTGATTAAGGTTTTATTTTCTTAAGTTTGCAGTGCCAACACTGCCACAGCTGACTAGAAAGAGGGTCTTTCTTGACAATCCCCAAGGTCACGTACCTTCCTGGTAGGCTCCTTGCGGGGGCGCTCCTCAGTCCGCTCAGTCTCTGAGGGTGGCCCCTGTGCACTACCCTGCTCTAGTGTCAGCCGGCCCAGCTCACTGTCCAGCTTCATGCTCTGTGTAAATTTCTAAGGGTAGGTCACGAGGAAAGGTTATGATTAGTTCCAGACACAGCATACCATAACAAGACAGCAAGTACTTACAGGAACACAGTACCCAACCCAGAGACACAGGGACACAAAAGCTGTAGACAGGATGTTAGTTCTCAGCATTTGCAAGGCTACATTTCTCAATGGTTATCAACTGATTTTCATAAAATCATAGTTGTTTCATGTTTTCCTATATGGGAATTATCATGGTCTCTAAACACCTAAGGAATGAGTTTCACAGCCCTGTCTCCTCTATAGCCCATCACCACCTATATCTCCTACCTCCTATCTGCTCCAAAGTGCTGCCTGAAGACCACTTGGCTCCCAGCATCCTCCAGCCCAGAGATCTTGGGTTACCCTTTTGTCACCTGATATTTTCTGCATTATTTTGGACAAGTGCTTGTGACAACTTTAATACTAAGTGTTTTTTTTTGTTTGTTTGTTTGTTTTTTGGTTTTCTCTGTGGTTTTGGAGCCTGTCCTGGAACTAGCTCTTATAGACCAGGCTGGTCTTGAACTCAGAGATCCGCCTGCCTCTGTCTCCCAAGTGCTGGGATTAAAGGCGTGCGCCACCACCACCTGGCTTAATACTAAGTTTTGACAAATGAATGCAAAAGCATTCAGAAGAGGCCTAAGACAGAGACCAGTACCAGAGATACTATAAGAAATAAGGCAGGGCCCCTAAATAGCCTCCCTACCTGAATGGGACGGACTGGCCACAAAGACCAGGAGCTCTGAAGGGAGAAGCTGTAGGACAGAGTGGCATGCAGCCTGGACATTAAACATTCCATGCTGCCCCCTTGTCCTCACCTGCATACAGTTGGTGAACATGACACACACAGACATAAGCTTGGAGAAAACCTTCAGCAGCTCAGGGTTGGTCAGCATGCACTCCTTCAGGCAGTTGTCAAGGAAACTTGTGTGGTGGCCAAGCACGTCGTCAATGTTGGAAGCCTGCAAACAAAGGCCTGAGACTTCCCTGAAGTTACTGTGCACATGGCTTTCAGTTCTGTTTGGTACTCTACTGCCTGTACATTTCCGTTAGAGACTATGTTGCTACCCCGTCTTTTTCTGTTTCCTCTTTCATGTACCATGTTGGACGGAAGCCCTGTCTGTACATGAGAAGGAAGTAGGCAGATGTGAGGCTGTGGACATTTCTGTGGCCACCATGACACCCGGCTAGCACATGCCGGTGCTATGAAATGCACTCTGGCTGGGAAAGAGCCTTTCAGATGCTACATGTATTTCTGCAGAGCAGAAACTCACAGATTTCAGGTTTTTCTCAAGGATGTGCCAGGTTGGTTCCATCACTTCAAACATCATGTAGTACTGAATATTCTGGACAAAGTTGAGCATTCGCTGCCGTAAAGTGAAAGCACCAGCAAACCTGAGTGCGGAAACAAGTTACTGAGGATGTGATGCAGAATCATAACAACTACGTGCAGTACAGTGATGGCTCCCGCCCCAACTCCACTGCAGAGCAGATTCTCATGAGTGATCCTAGCTCTCATGTGATGATGGTTCAGACTCAGGGACAAAGGATATTAACAAGGAAGGGGCCTCAACGCTGAAGTCTGAGGACACTCACTTCTGGCTTCATCTGGGTGTCAAGTAAATATCTTACTCAGCATAACTCTTATTCCCCTGCATCCTGAAAGAGTGTGCCAACTAGCCACACCACGGAGAGGCAGGGCAGGATCTGTAGCTAACTAAGTTACTCAGTACAGGTGTGGAGGTTTGGATGGCATGTTCCCAGTTGGTGGCTGTCTGGGGAGGCAGCCTTGTTGGACAAAGCTTGTTACTGGTGGTGGTCTTTGAGGTTTCACAAGGCTAGCACCATTTGAGATCTCTCACTGTCTCCTGCTTTCAATTCAAGCTGTGAGCGCTTAGCTGTTGTTCCA